TTACATGCCAAAATAGTCAGAAAGCCTTTTTTGTGTCTGTGACAAGTCATACTTCTCACTAGCAAAGGGCCAGATCTGCTCCAACGTGATCACGAAGAAAGAGATGTTTGACTTGTTGGTTACAGCTTCTTAACTTATGAGGATATCTAATAAGTTTTTTGGCCAGAAGTTTCTATGAAGTAATATTTTCTGCAAATGGTAACTGTTGGTTCTTGCAGTGAAGAACATTTTACATTCAGATATCACAAGGTGCTTTACAGAGGTGAGTCTCTCTGTTTGAACGGAGAGGGAAGCCTTAGATTGGTGACTCGCTCTCGAGGGTATTTGAAGACAGTGGCAGATATAGGTTTATTATAAGACTTACTGGCTTCTTGCACTATCATTGCACCCACACACAGACCAGGACTCCAATGCACCAGTTTTTCAGAGTACAAACTTTACCTCTGGCTAGGCAGTCCCCTGGAGAGCTAAGAGAAAGGAGAGATCACCTGCTGCACTGCCACGTTGCCTAGAAAAGCAGCATCCAAGCTGTTTTAAACACACTTCAGAAAGTCTTTGCTTCACTTTGCTGGTGCTGAACAACCTTAATTGTAAGGGTGCTGCATGGCAGAGGGTGGTGCATACAGAAGGACATCTCAGGAGGGCAGGACCTGCCTGGTGTCCTCTGGACCACAGCCTGGAGCTGGGATGTGCCTGATTCCAGAAAGTAATTGGGTAATTGGAAGGTAATTTTTTTTTTTTTTTTTTTTTTTTTTTTTTACATTGGGAATCAGAGCAGCAGCTGTATGGCCCTACATCAGGCTGTCCTTTCAAATACATCGTTCCTGCAGGCTGGGGCTTGAGTGCTCCTTGTCTCTAACAGGCATGTTGCTGTGTTTTATACCCTGCCTGCCTTGGGACAGGGAAATCAAGGAGATGATAGTGTGGGAAAGAGGTAAATATGGGGAGAATTTGCATTAGTAGGGTAGGTGATTTGCCCCACTGTGTCTGCTCTCTCACAGGAAAAAACAACAGAACAGAACAATACGACAGGAGAATAAAATGAAGAGTGTATGCTCTTAATACCAGAAATGAGGCACAAAGGTTAAGACTTGTTCTGCAGATGTTTCCAGAGAGAAGGGGCAGTCTGCACTAGAAGCCCACTGTTTAAACAGGAAAATTGAATACTGCTTGACAGTGTGGGGCTCATATTCCACATCAGCACTCTGCTTTGCTCCCATATGAAACAGATGCTGTTGTTATTGCTGCTCAGAGGCAGCCCGGAGATTAACAATTTCCATGTACAGATACTTCTTTGGCATTACATAACACATGTATTTAACACACACAAAATTTTCATTGCAAATCGGCTGCTGTGGGGGTATTCACATTTTTAAAAAAGCTGTTTCCTTCCTGAGACATGCAGTTACACTATAGCCTTAGTTTGACCTGATTATGAAAGCCATACTAAAAAATGAAGTTAGTATGGGACTGAGGGATCTCATTGTTTTGTTTTTTAAAAAAAGAAGTAAAATCCCAGGGCTCATCATTAGTTTTCCAGGCTAAATAGTGTGTAACACTTATAAACTTTGACCACAAGTACAGGAGTAGCAATGTAAGGCTGGGATGCATGTGGCACTGTCATGATGCTGAAAAGATGCATGCAACAGATAATATAAAGTTCTTCGTACAGCACCTACCATAAGGTGAAACAGCAACACTGAGATATAATATTCACTCTTATTCATTGGATTAAGGAGAGAAAAGACTAAATCACACTTGAGACATCTGTCTGGCTGCCTCAGAAACCTCTTTTCATGCTAAGTGTAGTTTTAAAATGTCACCCTGAAAATGTGTGACATCTTAATGGGCTGATTGCCAGGATTCTCAAATCTGTTAATTTGCATATGAATCACTGCATCAAGTATTATGGAAAGAGTATAAGAAACTAGAATTATGAGAGAATGCTTTGTACTCCTCTTGGTTAAACATATGTTGAGAGAATTGTCTTTTATAAATCTAATATTACAAAGGCAAATGAGATTAAAAAATGCTGTGGTATTCCCTTTTATACCAATAGCTGGTTGTGATTGCATGTGGTCTTTTTTACAGCTGTCTATGAATAGCAGCCTGGATGTTGCCTGTTCTTTCAATAAGCTGCACAGCATGTTACAGAATCATGACAGTCACTAGTGCAGCCCTGTGGAAGGGCTGCATTCCCTTCTCCACATTTCTGATGCAGCTCCAACAAAGTCAGTGGGATTTCACCAACGTCTTCTGATCATCTCTCTCCAGTAAACAGTGTTCAGGTTGCTCTTAAAAATGATGGAGCCAAAACAAGCACCAAGGGCTGTCAATTCTTAAGCTCCCATGCACTTCAATTAGAGAAAGCTAAGGAGTCTGCACTATGCAATTAGCTACTGTGTGCCAGGGTCCATGGCTAGGCTTGTGGGAGTTAAGCGTGTACATAAATACTTGTTGGATTAGGGCTTATGGTTAGAGAAAATCCTTCCAACTGAAACAAAAATTCCTATCAGGCTCTAACGCTTAAACAGTTTTAGTGGGAGGAGGGTGCAGTCAAGTTCCTACAGCAGGTTTTCTCATCTAATCTAACTAGCTCAATGCAGGACTTGGCATATCCTAAGCAATTGTTTATAGCTCCTGCACAGCACATCTACTTTGGGAGCTGATTTGTGATGGAAATCCACTTGAATGGAGATGGTAAATTTGATTGTGAAAAAGAAGTGAAGAATTCCACAGCAGAACAATCTGGGTCACGATGTTCTTTGGATTATAAGATTTAGTACAGAAAAAAAGCCCAAACCACATAATTCAGATCCAACTTTCAAGCATCAAAAGTTTGAGGTTAATCAAACTAGGGTTTAGTTCATCCATTAATGAAGATGTCTGTGTAGCTTGGAGCCGACCCTGTGCTTGGATCTTTCCATCTCTCTTGGGGTTCCCCAGGACTGTTCAAATCCAGGGATCAGACCCCTTTCCAATTTGCAGCAGAAAACCCACAACTGCACACACAAAAAGCTGTTTAAAGGAGAAGGCAGCTTGGGCAGAAAGAGGCACCAGCAGAGAGAACTAGCTGTGAGTCTGTCCTGAGTCTCTGGAAATGTGCAAGCAGGTATATGGTAGAGGGATGGATGTTGCAAAGTAATATTGATCTCCCCGAGGGACTGGAGAGTAGCGGAATATAGTTTTGTGTAAAAGAAAGAGAGCAAACATGGGAAATGGCACTGGGGGAAGAAACAAGAGTTAAGCTCAGAATTAATGTCCAGAAACAACAGGACAATAAATCTGAATTTCCAGTGCAGAAGGCAGGGTTTGTTGTTCAGAGGTGAGCTCGGTACAAGACACCTGCCAGAGAGGCTGAGCTTTCTAAGGTGTCTCCTGGGTCATGGAGGGGAAAGACTGGCCCCAACCTGCTCATCTCTTTTTGAAAACCAAGCTAAGACAACGCAAGCAGCTTTGGACTTTCCAGAGGCATAGCACTAGTATTACCCCTATTGCTAACACACCTAGTAAAGCTGATGGGGCAGCCTTGGGAACAGAGCCAAGGGGGACTGGAGCAACATGCATGATGCTTCACTGGCTGCATGCCTACAGCTGCTGGCAGTGATGTCAGCAAGCCACAATGCATGCAAGTCACTGGTCTCAGCAGCCATGCTGTGATAGGAAGTGATCCTCTCCACTCAAACCCCCAAGGACGGCAGCCTGTCCCCGGCGGGAGAAGCCAGGAGCAGGTGAGCAGTGTGGCAGTGGCTTGCCTCTCATGGGTGCGAGGAAGGGGGATTTCTTCCAGTCTCCACTTTGACGATGCAGTGCACAGGAATTGATCACGGTATTGCCTGCTGTCTGTTTGCATGACTGCAACTCTGGGCAGAGCTTGGTTCCCAACCTTTGAAAAGTCATCAAAGGAAGTGAAGCTCTTTCCGTGTTATGCTTATGATGCCAGTATACCACAAAAAATGTTTCTAAAGCTTCTCCTGTTAAGGAAAATTGACCCTCCCCTCTCCTTTACCTTATATTCATTATGAAAGCATTTGGCTTTAGGAACAGAGACAGTTCTCACGTGAACACATATGCAAAAGAAAACAAGTACAACGCCCATTTCTGTAGAAGAATATATTATTTAGCAGATCAGTTTAAAAGTAAAAAAAAAATCTGTACATCTTTGAAGGTTTTTCTTGTTGTTGCTGTTGCTTTTTGCATCCATGAGGATAAAAAATATGCTTGCACAGTGGTTTCAGCTTTGTGTTCCCTTCTTTGCTCATGCTGAAGGATCCCTTCACGTCTAGCTGTATGAGGCCACAAAGCAAACTTGCAAACTCCCTAAGGTTTCTTCTGGTTTCTTCTGGTGTAGAAAAAAAACCAAACAACAATGCATCCACTATGCTGGGCTTCTGAATGTACTGTGAACACTATAAAATTCAGAGAATAGTACAGAGAAATACGTTGTTAGGGCCTACTGGGCAAACAAAAATATATGCCAGGACCCCTGTCAGAAAAGAAGCATCTGTTTAAGCTATGCTGTAATTAGCATACTGCTGTACACATATATACAGTAACTTGACTAAAACAACTTTTTCTTTTGTTTTTGGATGCCAGTGGCTCATTTTCCAGAAAGGCTCCTTAGCTAAACTCTGCTTTGTCTCTGCAGACTGCAGTCCATGTGCTCACCAAAAAGGCAAATCTGCTGAAGATTTGAGCTGTGCTGCAACCTGTGCAACAGCCTTCAGGGAAGCCCTGCTGCAGGGGATTTGGTGGGCATGCTGGAGTGAAGGGACCCCTTGGTGTCCGATGGCAGCAGTGCATGTGCGAGCAGGCTGCAGGCTGTAGACAGTGCGTCTGGGCAGGCAGACAGGCAGGCAGTGCTTCTGGGCCTGCCAGCTCTCCACGTACATGGTTCAAGTTGGATTTTGATGTAGCCACCACGTCTGTTTGGCAAATACAGGATTTCTCAAAAACAGAATAACCTTAGGGCTTATGTTTTGCTCAAATGCTTTTTCGTTTCACTTTTCGGTACTGCCAGTGGTCAAACTTTCACTTTTCTTTTTCTGCAACTGAAATGAAGAGCAAAGCAGGATTAATACCCCTGACTCACACAGTGCTGCTTTCCACTGCTGCTGTGAGTTGAACACTCTCCAACAACTCTCCAACAACAAGGCATGTGCAAGACTTCTTAGAAAATAATAGGCAGCAGCTTGCTATATCACAGGCATGTTTTAATCCAAACACCTCTGGATGTATATCCTGAGTAAACAGAACTTGGTGCTTCTCATCATCTGCCGTGATAGGCTTTAGGATTATTAACTCCTCTTGTTCCAGGATATTTCTGAATTCAGGCAGCTCCTATTTTCATAAGACCTCTTGTGCCAATACACTGTAATTAAACCTGTATCAGTTTGTATAAAATTTCTAGTTTGACAGCTTCTCTAAATCAGAAGTAAAATCTCAGCTCAACTTGGAACATGAATAGAAAGTCTGGCAGTCGTATCTGAGTTCTTCTTCCCTCCTTTGAGAAATGCTCCACTCTAAACTGAAGAATGCCTAAAAGACTTTATTCTGCTTCATAACTTAGTGCCCTCAAAGCTCCTTGATTAACCAGCCTTAGTATTTGTGCTGCTGAAGGGCTTTTCCTCCAAAGCACTTGAGAGGAGGTAGGAGCTATACCAGAAATCTACTATTCCCCCCATCCAGCCAGGGATGATCAAGTGAATGAACCTTCATGTCCCACATATCAAACAATATCAGCACAACTAGTGCTCCAGGGTGCTTCCCAATTTATTTTAATGACAGAGTGACTGATAGCATCCTGTCTACATGATAAATTTGTTCATGTCAAAAAACCCCTACACTGTGATGCCATTTGGGCAAGTTTTGTTGTCTGCCTCAGCGTGGAAAAGCAGCGCTCGAAGAGGCGTGCAAAGAAGGCGTGCAGGCCCCGTGTCGTAGGCTGCAGGGTGCTGTGGGAGCCAGGCCAGCACGGTGGCTGCTGCACTGCAGGCATGGGGCAACCGCTCCCGGGGCCTGGCCTCGGTCTCTGCCTTGTCAGGCAATGAAGATGTGTCCAGAGAGAGCACATGTGGTTACATGTATAGCCTACCTCTCCTAAGCCTTGTATGTTAAAATGAGAGATACTCTGTAACTGGAGGTCCCCACTGAGCCTGGGCCATGAAATGGCTTTGTTGGTTGCGTGTTTAATCCTGCTGGGTGCTGTATATGAGAGAGTAATTCCTCATAAAATTTCAAGCACATCCTTGATGATAGACACGTGAGTGGAAGCATCTTCCCAGAAAATAAATCTATGCATTTGTGGTACAGTGCCTTGAACTGCCTAACCCCAGGACATTTTGCTGCAGTCTAGTCCAGGCTAACTCCTTCCCAGGGGAAGGCAGCTCCCTCCAGGAAGAGGTGTTTGCTAACATGCTCCTCTCAAGTGTTTATCTCTGGGTTTTGTCTCGAGGTCCCTCTCCTGCAACTCTCTTCCCATGGCCTTGCTTGTGTGCTGCCTGGTGGACTCTGCAAGGGCATGCTCTTGTGCACACTCATGGCTTGTGGTACACACCTTTCTCCAGCCAGGTAATGAAAGTGTTTCTCATAATTATGATTATGCCGTAAGCATTCCTACTGTTTTGGAATTAAACTGCTATTAAATGATAATGTTTGACTTATTCAATGTTTGCTTTATCAAAGAGATATTTAGAGCTTACCTCTTTCATAGCATCATCTATCTGTTTTAATTCCTCATAGCGGTCCCTGGATTCCCAAAGGGGCTGGAGCATCACCTCCTCCACTTCTGGGAATAGCTAGATGAAAACAAGAGAGAGAATATACAAATTTCCTTTTGTATTCATTAGCCTGTACATGATAGAAATAGGCTGAAAGGAAGGGTGTGAACTGTACATCCCCATTTCTCTGGCTAACTAAACACTTGTCAGAGCAAACATGGAAGCTCTGCATGCCCCCACTTCTGCTTCTTGGCCTTAGGTGACTTACCTTTGTTACTGTTTCGAACATGGGGATGAGAACAAACTTCAGGAAGCCAATCTGTGCTGTCGGCTTGGTCACTTTATCACGGTCCATGAACGGTGCTACTGGAAGCCCCTCAGATTTTTCTCGGTCGCTCTGTAACAAAACCAGTGTTAACAAAAATTAATCTCGGCTAGAAGTCTGTGAGGAGATTAATGTACCAAGCAGATCACTAGCTAGAGAGCAGTAGCCTTCTGAAACAGATCTCAGTGGTATCTGAAGATAGCACAGAATAGCAATATGCTTCCCTCAGGCCAATGTATCCTGCTTTGTTGAGAGCAAGCATCCGAAGAAAGAGAACTCTGTTCAGTTACATCTGCACAGTACTGGCATGAAAGCGTTCATGTCCAGGCTTACAGGACAACGAAGCCACCTGTTTCCCTTTGCAAACGCATAGGACTTGTGAGGTTAAATATTTCTGAGGATTCAGAATGGTGGTAATGGCTTTTGCCACTCTGGAAGAGAAGGAATAGGTCTTTGATTTCCTCATAATTCTCCAGAGAGTGATTATTTTTGGGTATTCAACCAGAAACTACATATCCTTCTTTTACTAATGATTAAAACTAGTTCTGGCTGGCTGGGTCAATGGAGAACAGTTCCACTGACAGCAATGAGTTTACCAAGCCACCTGCTTGACCACATAATTCACTGTTTCTACGTGGGTTCATGTGCAAGGAGGTCACAGACTGTGTGTGCAAAAAAAGATATCCCATAGCAGATTTTATCTCTCAATTATTGGGTCTTTCAGAACATTGTGCTTTTGCTGGGTGGCCAAAACCGTAAGGCACACAGATACTGTAATTTTGAGTCAAAAGCTGCAGATGCAGTGAGCTAGGAGTGTTTCTGACACATCATCCAAGGTGCCTGTCTCTTGTGAGGAGCCCTCCTCAGCAGGCACCCTATCAAAGTATAGACAAAACACACAAGAAAGGTCTGGCATCTCCTCCTCAGAGCATTGCAGCTGTGTGTCTCTGGAGATCCCACTGCTGCAGCATGTACACACTGCTCAGCCTGTGTGCCGGAGGCAGCTGACGGCTGCTCTTCCAGGGATCCTTTCTGAAGCAATCAGAAACTGTGTCCAGCTGGGAACCCAGTGAGGACCAGAGGTCTGGGGAGCTTAAATATGACTTTGCACATGTCACAAGTCATCTGCTTTCTCTTTAGGTAGATGTTCACACACAGTGAAAATTTATCTAAATTAGTTCCTGTGTGATATTTGATATCATTTACTTGACAACTGTCTCTTGCCACTGCTCTTGCCCTTTTGGCTTAAAAATCATTTATATGTCAAACAAACTTGCAAGGCAGACACTTCACAGAGAACAAGCTTCAATCTGCTAGCATGAGGATTCCTAGGCTGCTATTGTCTTTCACCTACAAATTACAGCCAATTGCATTCACTTGCTTTCTGAACAGCTTTTCTTGCTATGTCAGAAAAGCTTCTCCTGCTTTCTGTAAAAGAAGCCTTTCCATCCTAGAGCTAGACTGGGCTGTCAGACAGCAGAGCACCTGTACCTGAGGTGGGATTCAGGAAGAGCAGCAATTTGTGCAACTGTATCTCTCCCTCATTCTTACCTGCATAAAATATTCCTCAAGTAAGCAATCTACCCAGGGCTCCGCTACTTCCATCGGACGGACTTCATTGGAGATATCACAGCATTTTATCAGTACCATCTTCAGCTGAAAGAGGATAACACTTTAATACTGCAGTCTTATTGCCAGCAATTTCCCCCCTATCCAGAACCTGTGTCTTTATAATGCAATGTGAGGCAATGTTTTCAAATAGAAAGGATGGGTTTAGGATTACATCAGAGGTTTTAAATAATCTGGATTCTCTTCCACTCTCTCAGTTACCCTGTGTAAACCACTTATCCCCTCTCTGCCTCGGTTTCCCTGTCTGTAGCAGTGGGATGTGTCACAGTGGGATGTGCGCTTATCTGCTGCATGAAGAGATTCAGCGACAAATGACCATGACAGATGACTGGATTAGGAAGTAGAGGAGACTAGAGTTTGTACTCTCATGGATACCTTTTGCCGCACAGTAATGAGCAATAAGAATTTGTATCCTAATACAGTAAATATTTTTTTTCTTGATGGGACTCCAGGATTTCTAAAGCTGGAATAATCTGTTTTGTATACAGCACTTCCAAATTTTAATTCTTTTTAGTGGAGCAGAGGATGTAGGAAGGATTCGTTTTTGATAACATATATTGAATCTTGGTTTTTAAACAAATGAATGTTAATCTACAAGTTTACACACTATGCACAGAAAAATAATAATCTACAAAACCTCCTTACACAGGTCATGTGTTCTTCATTTGAGTAATCAAAATTTTCCATTTTTTCCTTGAAAGAGTCCAGTATTTCTGTATGTCTCGCCATGTCTGTAGCCAGGATTAATGTAATTATCCCCTAGTAAAGAAAACATGTTCACATATTAACTTGACAGTCTTTACAAAGTTTACTATTGCAGAGCAAAGTAGGTCTTTCTTACAAACAAAAAGCCTCAGATGCATTACATTGTTAACACTGAAAGGGGAAGTTTCTGACTTGAAACTGCCAAGCAAACTGCAAGAGGGTTGTAAAGAGTTCATGGTATATGAAGATCATGGTTGGATTGATCTGTAACGCTGGTGTGATAGTTCAGAGGCATTGAGGTTTTTCTGTTCTGATTGACTAATTGTGGAAAAAAGAACTGTACAACAGGATGTTAAAAGTCACAATCTGTTTGCCAAGATCCACTTCTGGCTTCTTGGAAAGCACTATAGGTTTTGCTGCTGACTCTCAGTGGCCATGGGAAGAGACAAAGATCAGTAGATGTGGATGTCCTCTGTGCTCATCCTCCTTGGATTAAGGGCTTTAAAATACCCCGATGCAGCCAATGCGTTAGGAGCTCTATATCCTCCTGCTAGGCAGAGTTTATGATGGCAAAACGTGGTTAAAGTTGTGGGTTTTCATATACATTTATGCATTTTGGGCCTATGCCTGCTTCCCATGCATTGGCAGAATCAATCGCTCCAGCCAGACTGGTATCTGAGACCTTACATTGGTCTGCTTTTTCATTTGGTGTGTAAGGAAGGTGTAATGTGGAAACTAAGCCTACATTTATGGCCCTTAGTGCTCTAATGGGAATTTTAGCATTGTTCGCTCTCTCAGAGATAATTGTGATGAGTCCCAGTCCACTAGAGCCTCTTCCAACAGTATAAGTGCTCTGCTGTTGTAAATCTTTTCCCATTTTGAAGCCCCTGTTAAAATTAATACAATGTTCTCTTACAGCATGAAATTCTGCCATGAGAGCTTAATCCTTTTCCCAGTTAGAGCTAATTGGCTCCTTCAATAATACAAATATCTACCCCCAAAAATATCTACCCCCAAAAATGTCATAGACTTTAATAGTCAGGATGTACTCATTATTTCTCAGCAAGACATCCTAGGGAGTGCTGCTGTGGAAATTTTCCAAGAATCCCTCTTGGATCCTTCCAGTGTGAGGGGCTTTCTCAGTCCTTCTCTCCAGGGAGAGTGATTCACTCGCATTGTACAGCAGGGAAGTCTGTGTCTGCTTACATCTTCAGGAACAGTTTGTACAACACAGATGGGAGCAGCACTCATACCTGTCTTATCTGTTTGAATTGGTCCTGGTCGACATTGGAGAAAATGTTGTATTCTGGCTGGGAAATGATCTGGAAAGCCACAGCACAGTGGTGGTTCTCCAGTGGGGAAATGTCATTGTAGCGTACCGCAAGCTCAGTTCGTGCATTTATCTGATAACTGATGTGAAGAAAAACAATGAGAACTCCTGCAGACACACAGCAGCTGCTCTAAACAATGCTGCTTACTTTTATTTACATTATTTTCAATACTTATTCAATTAGCTGCAGGGTTTTTTTTTTAATTGTTAATACTAAATCAGATTTCTAGAGAAGACAGATATTACTTTAATATCATCTCAGGCACTATTCCCCTGTAGGTTTTTAAACAAATTTTTTATCAAGTCTCTGTAGCTTAAAATTACACAGAACAAACATGGAAGGAACTGTCTGGGCTTCATTCAACACCCACTAATGTCAGTGGAGAGATTCTCACTGACCCCAGTCAGAATTATGTTTTGCCCTTATTTAATGAATGTCTACAAATAAATTAGATTCTCTCTCTCTCTCTTTTTCACACACACACATGTGCACACAAAAGTGTTCATGGGTCAGCAATTCTAATTTCCTCACGTGATAATAAATAGCATAACATGCACTTCATGATTTATAATTATGAAATAATGTGTAACTTAAATCACGCTTTGCATTTTAGTGTAATTATTCCATTTCAGTCAATGGAGCTATAATCATTTATGCCCTCTCTCTCAGCTGTAAAACATTTTACCTTGTTCTCTCAGGAGTGGGGGAGTGTTGGAATAGAAATCAGAAGCAGCATTTTCCTTACAAAAGGACAGCAAAGGACAGCTGGCAGCCCCAACCCAGACCTGAGTTTTTTGCATGAAGCTCTTCCTTGGCCCATGTGTGAATGAACAGCAGGGCCTTGGGGGAAGGTCATGGCCAGCTCAAGCTGTGAAAAGGAAAACCTGATCTACCAAAAATGCCAGCTGGTATTAGCTTCCCAATAAATTTTAAGGAAAGAGAAAGCAAGAGAGAGACTTACGTATTGTTATAGCCTGGATGGTCCAAGTCATGGCATACTGCTGCAGTCATGAGAATCAAGATGTCAATTTGGGAAAATTTATCCTACAAAATACGAAACAGTAATGTAGTATTATGATTTCTACTTCCTCTATCCCAATAAATGAAAAGAAGTGAAAAACACCCACGTATACTTTTTAGAGAAATGTGAATCTGAGCAAAATGAAGTATTTTTCCATAGATGAATTTACTTCATTGGAGAAGGCACTCCCTTCCAGTAAAAATGACTCAGACTTGCCTTTGTTGCATTAAATAACAGCAGCTCAGAGGAGGCAATTTGCTTCAAAATTGCTATTACTGCAGAGGTCATATAAAAGCACTGAGATATTAGTACAGTCTCTTACAAGTCATTTGACCACCCTGATTAGTTAAGGGGGGGCTGGAAGATAGCGTAGTTGCCATTGCATTCTGCATTAACTACAGTTACGAGAAGAGTGAGAAAAATTAAGTGTTGCGTTCCCAAAGCTTCTGAATAGGATGAACTTCCTTTAAAGGAAGTTTTTCTTCATACTCTTATTGGCAAAAAAATAGACTTACGCCAGTTACTGAGATGTGTAACTATGGAGAAGAAAGGGGGTTTTTAACTGAATAAAATCTGGTTTGTGCAGAAATGAAATGAATATATAAACACAGGTTATCCAGTCAATGAAAATAAATTATGCCTATAATTTTGGACAAAGTGAATCTTGCATATAGTACATGCAAGGCATTATTTGCAGTAGGTCACCTGGCTGAAAGCACAGATTTGGAGAAAACCTCTTGTGGGAATATTTTGTATCACAGATGAAGAACATATCCACAGATCATAATTCAGTAGGCTTTTGGGTCTGATTCGTAGATGTTTCATGCTATCAGAGTGTCAAAAGATCTTCAGTGTACGAATTGGGGATATCCAGGAGGGAAAGGTAGCTTCCCAGCAGCCTCAGAGAGCTGTGTAGGTGCCTGGGGTCTGGGATGGGATGGCTGAGCAGGCAGCCAGAGGCTGAAGTGCAACATCTCTCCTCCTCTCCCCAGGGACTCAGCAAGTGCAGGTACTGCAAAGCTCATCACTTGCTAGCAAGCTGGTGGCTTGTTTTGCAAGAAAAGTGGCAGAGGTGTCGTGGTGCTCGGTGGATGAACATGTGCCCCATGATGGAAAATGGAGTGATACTATTGAGGTGGGGGGGATGTACCTGGAGGTTGCAGAGCGAGATCATGCTGTACATCATCTGGGTCACGCAGAAGCAGTGTCGGAAATTATGAAAGGGGTTGTTTCTGTAATTGTCATGAATACACAGCTGCAGAGAGAGTGAATGAAGCAGTCAGAGACAGAAGAACTCCTTCTTTATAAAAACGTGATTACATATGCTTCCCAGCCACCCTGGAAGCACTGTATATCCCTACAGGAGTCCTATGGAGCCCACTATTATTTTCTGCTAGGACAGAGGGACAGCACAAGGCCCTCTTGACCCTCTCTGCCTTCCTAGGGAAGGGTGAGAGATTACTGACTTTCAAGAATTTGTCAGCAGGTAAAGCTCATACCAACTTCTCTCTCACAGCAGCTAGCAATGAGTACACATCCCAGCACGGCTGGAAGTGCATCTCAGTCTTGAAATAGCACTCAGTGCTCTCATCCTGAATTTGTATTTCAAACCTTGCGGTGGTTAAACGGTGACTTCGGGATGTGTAAACAACTCAAAGTACGTCCCCATTCCCCTCTCTTGCTGAATGCAAATTGCAGCTTTGAAATCTTCAAAGCTGAAATATATTTGTTATTTCATTTGCAGATGCTCAGAGGTGGCACTTTGGAATGTGTTGCTCGGCAAAGTGAAGAATGTTGAATGCACACACTAGAATACCTGTTTGGATTTCCTGTGCTAGGCAGCATGGGAGAGATTTAGCATATAGGCACATGAGACTGATTTTTGTGTGTTTTAACCTTCTACAGATCCTGGCAATGTGCTCTCATTACAAATGCAAGCTAAAGCTCGTTTTTCCATGTGTCCTCGCTACTGTCAGCCAGGCTTAGGTGAGTGAAGCTGGCACAGTTGCGTTAACACATGCCAGTCATTCTTCCAATGCACTGGATAGCCTTCGGTACCCTGTCCTTCACAAAACAGCGAAGCATCAGCAGCATTGCTGGACCCCTTCTGCTGAATCCTCCGTAGCCCGGATCCTAGAAAGCTCTTACGCACGTGCTTCAATTACTAAGCCTGAATTAATGACATGGATGGAATTTGTGACCCTTCTCCAGCTAAATTGTGAATTTACTTCAAGAGTCCTCAAGCCCCATCAGGATCAAACCCTTCAGCATGAGACCTGACTTCTAGAAAGCTCTGGATGAGGTCAAGAGAACTGTGGGTTTTCCATGCTTATTCAATATTTGTGGGCTTCATTGCAAAAGCTGTTCAGATTATTCTGCCACAAGGACTTTAGAAATGTGTTACATTATTTTAAAATTAATAACTAATGGCACAATATGAGTTGACAGCCAGGCACATGGGTGGTGGGTGGTATCTCACAGCCTCCACACTGACACTGTTGTCATGCCCAGGCACCGTACAACACTGCACGGATGTAATGTATACATCCATCAGTGGAGCCCAGAGCATCCCAGGGAACTCCTGACTCTGAGCACTGAAGGGCCAGAGTGACTGGATTGTATTAGTCATCCTTTCCTCCCCTTTCTGAAACATTTCTGTAGCCAGTGGATGTGGGAGCAAGAAAGCAAGCATATGCATGAAGTGGCTTTTTCTCACCCACTTAACGTTCAGAGTGGTGTCCATGTGGTGTTCCTGGGGTAGTACAGTTTGAAGCAGAGTCCTTGAGGCTATGTAAAAGCATCTTTATTTATGTGAAGCTAGTGTTTAAGAAAGGAAATCTCATCCTGTCTTACCTTCGTAGAAAATACATAATAAGCTCCTCTCATTCAGAACAAGGCTCTCTTAAATGCTAGTGGTAACAAATTACTTGGAGATACAAGCTAGCAGGAAGCTGCCTGCAGTAATGTGTGTGGGTGGCATGTTGTTGTGTGTTGACATATCACCTGGTTTCCCATGTTCTCAGGCTGTGAGACAGGAGGAGGAAATTTTCTGTTTTATCTACTCTGTGCTAGCCTTGATTGTATTGGGTTTCACTCCACCCCTTCTGTTCAGCTGCTTTCTAAGGTCAACAATACTGAGCTTTTCATCTGCCTTCTTTGGGAATAGATTTCCAAGGTCTCGATCATTTTGTATATCTCCTTTAATGTAGTCATACAATTTTTCTAAAATGACTAAGCATAAATTCCAGCTGAGCCTTATGCCTTCCATGGAGACATGGTAACATTGGTAACCCATTTTATCCCTTATTCCAGTCTCTAATCAGCCTAATCTCTTGTTAGCTTCAGCCAGCAGCAGCACACCAAGCAGTGACAGTCACTGCCCTGTGTATGCTGGTGCCCAGGTGCTTTTTTGCTCTTGCTGTACTTTGTGATATGAAGAATCCAATGTTTTGCTTTGTGTATTCTACCCATCTTCTGAATTTGTGGAATTTGTTCAGGCCTTTCTGGGAGTCTACATCAATCATGTAAAATGGTTCCCTCTATTCTGTGCATACTCTTCAGGTAATTAGAAGAGATTAATGAGACATAATTATTCACTGCAGGAATCATATGAAACATCTCTATAATGAACTTCACATCTTGATGTTTTTAATTATTGTTTCAATTTGGCAGGCAGAGATGTAGGATTTACTAACTATAATTCTTCAGGCTATCCCTAGATCCTTTTTTAAACAACAGGTAAAATATTTACTGTTCTACAGTTCTCTAGGAATGTGATGGGTTTTTCTTAGAAAGCCAATATATTCTTCATCTTTTCAGCAAATTATTTCTTATGGTCTCCCTTGGACCTCATAACTTAATGATTTTTAAATATGCCAATGTTTCTTCTTTAGACATCTTAGTTTTGGCATGATCTCATCTTTATCATGTCTTGCATCTCTGCAACATGCTCAACATTAAAAACAAAGGCAATAAAACAATTTAACTTCTCAGCAATTTCATTTCCTGCCTGCCTTGCTCTTTTACTCCCTGTGATTTAGCACATCTAATGATTATTGTATGTACTGGCTTTTTTTTCACCATATCTGAAGACACTTGTCTTGTCTCCATTTACATGAAGTACCAAGAACATTCACCAGAAATGAACTGCTTTCAGTAATAGAAAGCTCAGCAGACAAATGTAAAACAGTTTAAAAAATGTCATCTGTTACCACAAAAATGCAAACATTTGCTGAAGTACTTACATTTTAAGAATTTATATAGATTGACTGCTTTCAGTGGGATTAGTCACAGGAGTCAAAGTAACTCCATAACTAAATGATTTCTGCATTGCAAATATCAGTAATTTAAAATACTTACCAACCACCTCTTTAATGTGATAGGATTGATGTTGAAGTCTTTTACCAACCCAAGATCATGGTACATATGTTCCAAACAACTCAGCATCTGCAGCCAGGAACAGATAGGTTATTGGCTTGGTAAATATCACTTCACTTTACAATACATTTCAGGCTGAATTTCCTCCTTGTAAGCACCAAAAAATTGCAGAACCCTCTTGTTAAGATGAAAGAAAGATGTTCAAAGATTGCATGATTAAAGACAGTGCAAGAGGGGAGACAGAGAGGTTCTGAAAGCTTTTTGAAGTAGACTGATCACTATTGACTTCATAGGTTTTTTGCAGGGCTTTGAATCACACCAACTCTCTTTAGTAATTGTGATTCATGTGTATCATGGCAATTCCTTCTCACAAAAAAATATTGTCATTTTTCCAGTTCAGCTGGGATATGTTCCAATGCTTAATGAAATCAGTGGGAGTTTATCCACTGACTCCCAAGGCCCTAGCTGTATAGAAAACGACAGCAGAAAATAAGAAATCCTTAAAGAAACATTTATTCTACGTATGTGTCAATATCTACTTTCTTTATGACTTCTCATGAGTTCCTAACTCTACTATCTTAACTCAAGACTTCTTGTTTAACAAAAGATGTCCCATTATAACCCTACAAGAATGCAGCAGGTTTGTGAACATCTGTTCCCATAAACTGCAACTATGAATCCCAATAGCTGAAATGCAAAGGCAAGCTGCACTTTTGACACAACATCTGCTCTGAGGTAGGAAGGGGGATGCAGATAGTTTATCACTACCACTCCCAGTTTATCTCCTGGGTTTGAAAATATTGTAAAAGAAAGGTATTGATAATCTTATGTGCCTGGGCACTTGGCAGTTACCACCAGCCAGAAATTATGTCTTCCAGGAGTTCAGGAGTTTATCTATCTGCATTCCCATTTCTGAAGGCAAAATCTGCAGGGGATGAAATGCAGCCATTATATTAGCAGATGCAGTTTTTAGACTGTAGACTGATTCATGGGTTTTAACATGATGAGTGTAATGTCACAAATATGGCCTTGGAGACATTTTTAGTTAGTTTTCTGCTATTTAGGCTCTTAAAAACACTCCAGAAAAGTGATTTCATCTAATGAGACTTCACATTTCTTCAGGGAATATACATAGTTCATACAGTAACAAGGGGTCTGGTTTTGAGCCATCCAAATAGGAAGAAAGAGACTTTCCTGCAAGACTTGAGGGACAGTGTCACGAGCTGAATTGTCCTCAGATCACACGGACAGCATTTTGCTGAAGACCACCTTGTCTTGTTCCTAGTCCCTAAGGCAGAATATATGTTTTGCAATAGTTTCAGAAAAGACTCTCTGAGACAACAAACTTGATCCAGAAGGGCTGAACTACAATCAGAAATGCCTGTCTCCCTCCAGCTGTTGCCAGGAGAGCTTTGGGTGAGTGGCAAGGTGACTCTGAGTCCCAAAGCTCCTGCCCTTGAACACATGAGAATCTCAGTTTTCATTTTTAGCTTTCTTGGTCAACAGCAAAAGCTTGAATATTGGACACTTCTGAGGGTTGAAAGTGAGTGGGCATTTGAGAAAGAGAACGCAAGCTTTCTGCACAGCTCTGTTTATTGAAATGCTGCAGAGCACGTTATTAATTTGCTTACAGAAGAATATGATTTATAACCTGCCTGCCCCACATTGAGCACGTGGGCAAATGCTTATTGCTAAACAAGCACTGACAGAATTGCAATATTCTTTGTAAACATAAACCAGAGCTAAAAAGGTGAGATAAATCCATATGGTGCTCAGCTCACTAGAGCTTGTGCGGTATCGTATTTCTGAGCAGCACTACTCCTTGCAGGGCATGTCTAATCTCCACACCCTCTTGTTAGCCTCGTTCGCCTCGTTCATGCCACCATATAGTGTTTCTGAATGAGTTACTGTGCTAAAATACTATGCCTCAGCACACAAGAATCCATGGATAATGGTTTTTGTCTCTCCCTATTCTTTCTGAATAGTCAAAACAACAATGAGCCAGCAGTGTTATGGTCCACCTGGCAGGTCATAATTCTCTCTTGCCGGTAAAGACCTGATAGGCATTCAAAAGCTGAGTGCGAGCCATTTTGCCTAAGCATTTGTATGGCCATGGTACAGAGGAGAGGGGCTGGAGAGGGAGCAGTAACTGCAGAGCACCAGCCTCAGCTTGGCACGGACTGCAGGAGGGAAGCTCTGGCAGTCTGTGTGAATGGGAGATGGACTAAAGCCACCAGAGAGTCCTTCTGTTACTCTAACAGCCAGATTAAATATCCTGAAGGAAATATGCTGTTACTGTGGGTGGGGTATGGGGTATTTTTCCTTGTCATGTTGATTTACAGGTACTGAGCCAGAATGACTCTTGTAATGCATAATATCTGATTGAGAAGGTAACTAAGGTGATTGCTGCAGGGGGTAATGCTAGAACCACGCAATCCTTCCCTTGCGAAAACTCCAACAATAAAATCCTGGTTTAGTCCTGTTCTCCCTTACATTTTTCCTAGGTGAGATTTGGCTGAATCTAGTTTTACATTATATTATAAGATGGCCATTACAGAAACATCCTCCTTTATGTTTCTGCAGAGATTTACATATGGGCCTTCCAGAACCCTCTGCAATACAAGTGACGAATAATGAATAATACAAATAGCAATAAGAAAAATAGCAATAGCAGTAAGAAAAATAAGAAAATGAAGGAATAAGAAAATGCTAACAGGCTATGCATGCAGCTTTGTAACCTCTTTGTAATGCACTGCAGAAAAACCCTTGCCTAAAAGGGTGTGAATCAATGCATGCACCTCTGCCTGGCTTCACACAGCAGCACGCTGCTTTATTGATTTGAGCAAAGTTATTGATGAGTGCTTAAGCATACACTTTGCTAGGGACTGATTTGTTCAGATAAAATGGCACAAGAGAACCCATGCGGCAGTAATGATAGTGCACCAGTTGACCGGTTGTTGTGGGACATTACTAGGAAGAGGTTAAGGAAAAAATAAAGAGGAGTGAAGATATGGCAATCAGCATAATCTATCTGGCATCTGTCAGGAAAAAGTAGTGTTTTCTGGTGTGGTATGAAAAGAAAAAGTATAGAGAATAAGGGGCAGAAAATGGGAAAAACCCTGCAGACCATCTCCAAGGGCTCTACTGGCCTTGTTGGCTCTCAGAAAGGGCTAACTAAGCTAACATGGCATCCTTACCTCATTGGGCTCCCATAGCCAGACATCAAAGGTTGGTTTCCGAAGTGCTTCAATGGTCTCCTGGGACAGCATGTACTGCAGACAAAAAGGCAGTTGGCATAAGTAAGGGTCCCCCAACCCTGGCATGGGACCTGCTATTGGCATGTCCTTGGGACTCCTGGGGTTCCATTCACAAAGGGTTTAGCCATATTTCCCAAGAAGAGAGTAACTGATCTCTCCCTCTGCCTGCTCAACCCTCCTAACCCTCCCCACCAGCTGCTCATGGTCACACCAGGATGCCCACGCCTGGCGGGCAGCAAGCCCCCAGGCTGCTCACTGCCTGCCACTGATCGGTGGAGATCCTTGCAGAGCAGGGAGGTGGAGGGTTTGGGAGAAAAGGGAGGAGAGCAGAGGTGTTATGGATGGGTTTGTGGGTAATCCAGCATGGGGATATAAAGGGCACAGGGCACAGAACTGTCCCCGGATGCACTGGTTCTGCTGCCTGCAGAGCACCAGCAACATTTGATGCAGCCAGTCACGGCTGGATGATGTGAAGTTTCTACGCTTATAGTGTTAAATTAGCTGGTGGCTATGATATATTTACTTTCAGATGATTTATGCTCTCATTTTGAGTATTTTTTCAAGAACGCCCACATTCTCAAATGGATTGTCAGCCTGCAAGATTCAAGTGATTTTTTGTCATTACGCTCAGAGGCTTAAAACAAAATCAAGCTCACAGGCCAGTTACGATTTGTAGACAAAATGAAAAAAAGGAATGTGGATGGTTAAAAGACCAGGAGAGACGTGGACTCTACCAATTAATCTTTTCAAGACTCTATTGATCAGAGTCTTTTCTGGGGCACAAAAACCTTGTAGCTTCAATTGGCCCCTTTACCATGGCTGTCTGTACTGAGCAGGTGAATGAAATTTTCTGAACCATCAAATTGTTGATACTTTATCCAAGGGAGAATAACACTGAAGATGAATTTTCCTTCTTGAGAAGGCAATGATTTTTGCATTTGCATATATAATGTACATTTAATATGGCATTCTGCAAGAAAACTCTGAATTAGCAGTACAGATTTGTTATTTGATCACAGTATTGTAATGACATCTCTTTCCAGTGTACTCATCACTTCCTGCCTTTACTGACATTGGACAAATCCAGCACCTGACAACTGATAACAAATTTTGCAAATCTGTCAAACAGAACCGAAACTCCTAAGCCCAAAACACCTATGAGCTTTGGTCTAGGGATAAAACAGAAATACATGCTACCAGTCTACTTTGCAGTCAGTTAGCACAACTATTCATAGCACTTGTTAATTCAAGATCCTAGTATCATAGCAGTACATCAAAGTTTGATCTGACATGTATACATATCAAGGGAAAAAATCTTGTTTAGGACTGATGTGTTGCAAAAACATGTTAGTGTTAGGAGCACAAGCCTCTTGGGCAAAAGATAATTAAAAGAAATGTAAGTCTCATGATGTCTGCTTCAGAGGCAGTGGCTTTTGCTAGGCAGAGCAGAATAAACAGCAGAACTTATAAGTTATTGCTTTGTAAGGCTCTGAAAACAAATATGCAAGCATGCATGTCCATATCATACATCTGCATCACATGGGACCACATGAACTCCAGAGTGGCTGAGACAGCTTTGATATGTGCAAGCAGATGCCCATTGTTAACCTACAATTTACACATGTGTGAGCTGGTGTTTTGTCAAGGCGTGAGCTGGGCACTGAGCAGACATAACCTGGTAGCTTTGAGTAATTCCTGTGGGCAAACACTGCTGGTGCTAGGACCAAAGATCCTGTGTGCTTCATGGTTCCAGCCTCATTCATCACTTGGATTTGTACTTGTACTTGCCCAGTAGACATTTTTCTTCAAGCAGTACTGTTTTCTCTAGCAAATACACTACCTCATTTTCACAGGGACAATGAATCATTCTGGAGAGAATCCAATGTCGCATTTTCTCTTTGTTTCCCTAGGTGAAGCATCCCCATAAATTACTTTTTAAATTAAAAAATAATCTATCAGGAGAAAACAGGCAGCAGCACTATTTTCAAGCAGAGTACAATATTATAGGCTATTTTTGATTGTTTGATATGAGCATGGAGAATAAACAAATATAACTAGACAAAAGAGCATTAAATGTTGACGAATGCAAAATGTTCATTAACATTTCAAACACTAATGATCTTTCAAGTATTAAAAACTACTGAGGATCCAACTTTAAGTCACCACAGGCAACGACAGCTTTTTTCCATTGGCTTCCGGGGATTTTGGATCAGGCCCTGGACTTAGAATAACTAGGAGGCAGATGGCTAGGGAGTCATGCACTGTAAACCAGCACTTGTCAGGATGGCAAGCACGTGGTAGCATTCTGGGAAGAGCAAGTATTGCATGGTACCTTTGGGTAGGATGGTACATCCCGTCGGGGAGTCGGCCTCTTGTTTTCATCCAAAAAGCTGTACTTGCAGGGACAGTTAGTCCTGAAATGAAATATTCAGCTCTTAACATTGTGGGAGCAGAACCACAGTGCCTCAAAAAATGCCGGAAGTACTCTGGTCTCTCAGTAGGCATCGTTCGGCCCACTCCCCACCCTCTCCCTTTCTAATCTGGTGTTGCTCAAATTCTTTAAAAGTGTGACCCTCTTTAGGATTTTCTCCCCTTTTGTGACACCCCCATCAGCCCTTCTGCATCTATTTGAATTCAAGCAAGGAGCGTCTGTCTTCAGGCATGTATCCATGGCTACCCAATCACTTCTATTTAAACCAAGGAACTTTCCTTTCAGTGAGCAGCTTGCTGTCCATGGCAGGCACAGTTGTCCAAGGATGGCAGAGCCCTGCCAGGGGCCACACCGAGTGTGGACACTGGCACACCTGTGCTTATTTACTAGTGCAGGCACCCACTGAGCCAATGGCTTATTGCAGCCCAGCTCCAGGCCTTGTAAAATCTTGGGTAAGACCATCTGTTTTGATGGCATGATCATCTTGCCTGCTGCCCGTCAGGCTGGACAACACCAGTGAGGCACAGGCTCAGCAGACACAGCCTGCTTGGCTCCCTGGTCCTGAAGGAAGGGAGCTGCTGCCAGCAATTACAGGTATTTAACACTTGCCTGGTTAACACCAGCACCCACTGCCAGTTATCTGCTCTTCCTTCCTGCATGCTGAAGAGTGAAGCTGATGCTATCCCATCTGAGCAGAGGGCCATGACAGTGGGAGGTGCACACCAGCCTTACAGCCTTTGCGGAACATTGAGGTCTGCTGCACTGCAGTGAAAGAGCAGCTCCCTTGCCTTACAGCCACAGGGAGCACAATAAAACTAAGAGCTCTGTGGTGTCACTCATGGCAATCATGATACATCAATTTAGCATGTGTTTCCCAGGTAGCTGGTCAGGTCACATGGATTTCTATAACTCTTATGTGAGGCTGACCTGCTTGCATTTTGCATTTATCCCTGTAGTCCTAATGCTTGGATTATCCTTTCTCATCTTTCAAGACTCCTGCTAAATGAAGCTAAAAGAAACCCCGCAAAAGAAGCCAACCAAAGTATTCCATTAACTTTATTTTTCCCTTTTTAAAGTATTTTGCATATTCTGTCTTGCATCTCTTTTTAGTACTTCTCTTCTCTGTTGGGAATTGGTCCAGGTCTCTTATCTTTTTGCCTCTTAACATTGATATCTGCTCTTATTTCTGATGGTGTTGTCTGAATCCCGAGAAAGTCATGTCATCTTATAGTTCATGGTGGTCAGCTGGTTTCAACCAGCTGCCTTTTCCTGCCTGGTTTAAGGAGATACTCAGTTGCTGAAAAGCTGCCTTAATCGTTTCTAAAGCTGTTTCCTCCAAACTCCACTGTGAGGGCTATTACTAGGATAAAAATAGTGAGATTGGGGCATTCCTTGCCCTAATTGGAGCTGGCTGCCAGGGTTAGCTGAGGGTCAGCCAACTATCCATAATTCCCAGCTGTAGTAAGACATCGAAGCCTTCATCCTACCACACTGGGGAACACACCAGAGCCAGGATGCATCAGACCTTTACAAATGTAAAACAGTATCTGCAAATGATAATGATTTTAAATGACTCTATGATGTTATCAGCATCTGCCAGTGGTGAGCACAAAAAGCAGACTAGCAAAAAAAAGCAATTTGAGGGGATGGAAGTGGGGCTGCTTTGCTCTTCTGAGAAGGAGAGATGCACAATTCACTGTGCATGTATAATGACTTTTATAAACCTCGCTGTTCATCCTTACTCTGTTGTTTGGTAAAGTAACAGCAAATGTAAGAATATGTAAACATACAAGAATACAGCTGTGTACACTGCGATATTACTGAAGGAATATATGCACTCACATACATTAATTAAACTTAGATGTGATCTCTAATTGTAACAGTAACGCATTAGCTAGCAAATGACATTGCACCAGGGATGGCAAGTTTAAATAGGAGCAAAACTATTTCCATTTGCCCTGGGATGCCTCTGTACACCCCATGGCATGCACATATCTCACACCAATGGGGGAGAGCTTGCTCAGCTGCTCTTAAGCACCCCTAGGCTGGAGTCACTGGGGACTAGTGGCACAGCTGCAGAGCTGTGGTCGTTTGGGAACAGGGAACCACAGCTTATTCCTCAGCAGCTCCCTGTGGGGTCCCTCTTAATGGCCAGCCACGGAGGAGCATCCTCTCCTCACTCATAGCAAAAAGAGTAGCCAGCCCTGGTTATATGCTGAACCTGGAAATCTAGCTGCTGTTTTGAGACCCAAGCCCTTGGGGTACAGATAATCATGGGCAGAATTTTGTGCAAGGAGGAGGAAGATGCAGCTTGAGGCAACCAAGAAAAGATGTGACAGGTAGCTGCCACACTGATATGGCAAAAAGCGATGCTGAGCAGACCAGATTAGGCTCCTGCTTCAGCAAAAGCAGCTATGCAGTGTGAGCCCAGAGAGAGCTAGCTTGGGCATCTGTGTCCAGCACTACCTGCTGCTGAGCACTGCACCAGTTTTTACCACAGCTTTCCAGAATCCATCCTGGTCTCTGGGTTTTGGTGGCTGTCATATCTCACTGCAAGCCCCTGGTGAAGACGACACCTCAGCTGGAGCTGGCTGCTCTGGGCAGACATAGCACTCCACATTCCTGTTTTTCTTGTTAACAGATTGCTGTTTATGCTACAAAATGTAGACGGTAAGGTGACAAGATCTGGAATAGGAATGAGTCACGGCTGCTGCTGGGACAGTCTCCTACGTCCTGATACGTTTGGTGGCAACTGGGCAAACATGAAGTTGCTATAACTTCTTTTTTTTTGTTTTAATTCCTTATCTGCCTATGCATCACTACGCTTATACATGCAGCTCTCCCAGCTCCCTACAACAGCTGAGGACAAGTAAAGACACATGCACAGGCACACACGTTATTCACATCACACCTAGCACAAATCAGCATACATGTTTTTGCTTTTACTGCCAATCTGGGCTCTAATTTTTCTAATGAGATTTCCTCACACACCTGAACAAGAAATGCTGCAAGTCACAGGGCAAACTGCAATCCATCCTACTGGTATAAATCTGGAGCTGATCTGAGGTTAATAACGTCACTTTGCATTTATGCTAGTATGACAGCTGAATTTGGCCATAGACTTAACAGTATTAACACTGTGCTTCCTGACATATTTGGATAGCAAAATGTATAAAAGTGAGTTATTATGAAGCCTGATTCTTTTAGAAATCTCCCATTGCCCTCAATAGGAAATAGCTTTGTTTAAAAGTCAGAGAATTTGACCCCAAATGAAGAAAAAGAGAGAGGCGGTCAAGATAGCAAAGTTATATTTGCTGAGAAAAATCCCCTTCACTCACACTTTGAGCAACATGGTATATCCTGCTTCAGTAACCTTCCCAGAAGTATTCATAATCTCACAGTGACGATTTGTTTGTCCTAATAGGGCATTTCAGTGACACAGGGGGCAGACTCTCCAGCTGAGACCACCTACCATACAAAATGCAATTTTTTCTGCTGTTGTTTTAATTACAGCAAAACCAAGCTTCACAATCAGTGAGCCCTTGCATTAGAAAGTAAATTCCCAATTTCTTGTTGAATTTGAAATGGATGTTTTATAATAGCATGAGATCATAATTAGAAGAACTGTTACGTATTTATTTGATATTTTACCAGAATATATTGGAGCTGATTTGAGTGTTAGCTAGTTCCCAACCAAACACCACACTATGCAGAAGTTCTTTTCCCATTCCCTCTCCCCCAGTAAATTGGGATGAAGAATTCCCATTCTGTATGGTGAAAAAGAACTCTCTGTTTCAAGACCTTTTTCTCTATTCCAGTGGCCTGACCTGTTTTAACTGATGAATGGATGTAATTCTTAAAAAGTTTAAATTAAAGTCACTGTCCTTAATGGTTATTGGTTCCCTTGTGCCTTTACTTCTAAGCCCAGAAAGTAACTAAATTCTACGGAAATACTGCATTAGGATTTGAAGCCAGATGCTTATTTCTTTGGTTAGGTCCAAAGCAGAACTTACCTGCTGCTTCTTGCTGCCATTTCCTCCCTCATCTTTTTAATGTCGCTCTTGCATTTCTCAATCTCCACTACTTTCAGGCCTTCCACTGTCAACAAAGGAAAACAACGGGGGTGTTACCATGGCAAAAGTCGAAGGATCTCATTTCACAATTGTGCAAAATTTCAAAGGGCTTTAACAGTGGGGTTATCCAGTGAGCCAGCAAGATCTTACAGTCTGCCCCAGTTCTCATATATGCAGGTGCTGCCAAAGTGATATATCTTGAAAACCCATAGGAATTCTCCGCTGCCAATTTTAGATAATAGCTACAGTATTTTAATTCACAGAACGGCTGTAACGTCTCAGCTTTTCCACAATTGTTAGCAGCAGTCAGCTGTTCTGGTGCCTCCACTTCTCTGCTGTAGAGCACGAATCAAAGGAAATCCTGAGCAAAAAATCTCTCCAGTGATGGGATGATAAGTGCAGCTAGGCAAACACGTCCCAGTAGGCTTAGAATTCCCATTAAGATAAAAGGTTTTAATTTGAAAGTTCGTGCAGAGCATTAAGGAGCTCTGAGAGGCATTGCTAGATACAGAGAAACTGAAGTAAGAATGCAAGAGAGAGAGAAATGTTGAAAAGTTTTGCTCTAATGATTGGTTTCTTTTTTTTTTTTTTTTGGTATTGAAGATCTGTCACTTCTTTTTGCCAATCAATTCTGTAATCAAAGGTTATTTCTGCATGCGGCACAAAAAATCCTATATTCCCCCTCTGTATGTAATTATGAGAGCCACAAGGCAAGAAGTTTGATTGCCTGTTTCGCAGCAATGCACTTCATCCCACGTAGCTGTGAGAACCTAACGCAGCGTGAGTATGGGAATATTCTCCCTTTTCTTTCCCTCTCATTGAACTATCAGCATACTCAAGGACATAATACAGCATCATTTATTAAGTACACGTCATTTATATGCAATCATTTCACAGCTCGTTTGTTTACTGAACTCACTGTTTGCACAGACAATTTGTGGTTCAGGGAACTCTAGGGAACATGCAATCGTACAATCAGTATTCAGTCACTTTCTTAGAAAATAATAGTCAAAATCACAGCTATCTGAAGGGTAGCATGTAGGCGATAAAAAACTGCCTTGGAAGGGCACGGCTCCGTAGACAAGCAGACATCTCAGTTTTGTTTTCTTTATGCTAGTAACAACAAAGATTTGTGCTGGAACTCGGAAAGGGGAAAAACAGAGCGCTACACGAACTGAGTCCAAAATGCCACTATTAGGAGAGGAAAAGGAAAGGGTTTTGATTTACACTTGATCACAGGGATACCCTGCACTTAAAGAACCCATTTCCAGATTAATGGGGATTTTTGCCTAGCATTGCTACAAGCAATTCCTTTGGGTGACCACAACGTGATGTTACAGGCAAGATGCTGTCCTGCTTATTCAGTATCTTAATTCTGGATATCTGGCTGCACTTTTTTTGGGTACTCAGTTCAACTGCCTATGAATCAGATGCAGCTGACCTGCAGGCCCTCTGCTTCTATGTTCCACCCCAGTGCATTCACCCAGGAGAAGTTCGTGGGTAGCCCATTTGCCAAGCTATCAAAATGGTGTCCGGGGCTTATTTACAGCAGAAGGAGCAAAGCAGAGTTATCAGACAGGCAGGGTAGTGGGGCAGACAACTGCAGAGAGAAGAAGAGTTATGGTGCAAAATGGCAGCCCTGAGCATTTTTTTGTATTGCATCTCTTTAGTTTTCTTCCAAAACCTCTCCAGGGGAGCAGAAAATTTACATAATTATTTTCTTAAGGTAGATGTGAGATCCTTACAAATTGTACAAGGTTTTTGCCAGCTTCCTTATTCATGTGCGGGCTGCTGTGCAAACACTGGAGCAGAGTAAGTCAAGCCATGGGACAGAGCATTGCCAGTGCTTGTCCTGAGTGGACACATTTTCCAAGGGGAAGTCACAAGCTTTAGATGGGATTTAAAAATCAGTTAAAAGATTTGTCTCCTTGAAAATACATCTCTGTGATGCGGTCCCCAGACAGTAACTGGAAGGAAGCTGAGAATGTTCTATGTGAGGTGCAGATGTAGCTCTGTCATGAGCACTTTTCCCCACACACACATCCCCTCTGGGGAAGAAATCTGGAGATTATATGTGAAAGGGGTAGATAAGGGATCTCCAAAGGAGGTAGGAGAAAAGGCAGAACAAAAGCACAGTTCTTTTTGCATTTGGCTTGCAAATGATAAATGGCCTTATCATGTGCACTGATTAAAGGCCCATTATATTATTCTGCAGCAAGAAATACCTCCTGAAAACCCCGTGCTGTCTAAAGAAATCCTTGGGCTGAATCCAGGACCCAAACACAGTTTAAAGCAACTTCTGGGAGCCCCAGCTCGAGTATGAAGGCTGCACACTCCCTTTCTCTCACAGTTTGCTTTTTAAACCTGAAAGCCTGAGATTATTTTAAAATGTTTCAGATTTGGCTGTGTTGCAAATTCTGGAAGTCCAATTTTGAGCAGATGGGTGCACTTGTAGACAGGCAACCCAGGGAGCTCCTTCCCACAGGCTGAGGCTGCTGGAGATGGGATCATGAGCGCTCAGGCAGAATGGCAGCAGATTGCTACATCTCCTGCTATTTCCATCAGTGGTGAGACGCACTTACAGAAAGAAGCCTCATCTGGGGACCAGTGAATTCAGTTCACCTACACGGCACAGCAGCTCTGGGTGCGCTGCCTTCCCTAAACCAGCAATAAAGTTCTGGAGAGTGCAAGTGCAAAACTCTTCCCTGCTGGCAGTGACATTCAAATATTCATTATAAATGCAAAAATTTAATTATCTCCCTCCACCAGCACAAGCCGCCAGTGCTGACAGGCAGCGTGTGTGTGCAAGGTGCAGCAGAGGGTCCTGGGGGGTCACTGGGGAGAGCCAGTGGCTGAAAGCAGCCCCTACCTGGCTGGGATAGGGGCTCGCCTGGGCTGCCAAGGGGATAGGAAGACCCACAGGAATGCTTGCCTCATTTGCCCCAGTCTGTGGCATTCAGCCCTGAGGACTGGAGTTGGTCGGAAGTTTCACGGAAAATGAAGAGTGACTGAGTTTTTTCTTTTTTTCTTTTGGACAAAAGAATAAATTAGCAGAGCCTTGGGTAAACTGCAGCCAAGCAGAGTGGGAAGGATTGCTACCCGGGGTCTGTGCTGGGGGTAGGCATGCTGGCAGGGTGCCCCCTCCGTGGATGTCACCAGGGGGCTCCCACTGCACCGGGAGCCTGGGGCTGGGGTGGCCCCTGGGGGAGGTTCCCCTGCAGCTGCTCTTTGAATAAGGACATTTTTTCCTCTCCCTGCTGACATAAGCATCAGTCTCACTGAGCAGCTGCAGGGTCAAAGTAGCTTCTGTTCGGGGGAAATTTCAAGAAAACAACTTCTTCCATGAACCATAAACTTTTTTTCCCCCAGCCAGCTCTAGTGAGAAAGTGCTTGCTGCAGCGGTAGTTCTGGGGAAGACTCTGCCCACTCCTGACTTAAATGCTGCATATCAGCGAGGATGTCGCCTTTGGTGTCAAAACGGTGCTGGGTGACCATTCATACCCCTTCCCTGCCTTTCTGGGACCTGTGTTCTCCATAATATACTGAAAAACAACATGTCAGATGCTGCCTGGGGGTGGGGCAGGATGATCAAAAAACCCAGAAAAGGAGCTCTTTGACCAGATGAACTTGTTTGTTGCACGGTTACTGAATACGGCTGTGTTACTGTTAACACACTGAACAAGCAAGGAAATCAGTGCAGCCTAGTAGTCTGCCAGGCCATACGGCCAGCGAGGGGTGAACCCCCGTGTCTGCAGCCCAGAAATCACCGCCTGGTGAGACAACAAGACGCACCCTCTGGCTGTATTTCAGCACGTGCTACGCCGCCTGTTTATGGATGCTTCGGCTGTATTCGCGCTGTATTTGTGCTGCAGGCATAGCGTGCACGTGTGCTGAGGGGAAAGGCCCCGTCCCTCTCTGGGCCCTTTCCCAGCAGAAGGAGGTGTGCGACATGACACTGAGCAGAAATGCAGCCAGGTCTCCGAACCGACCCGACTGCTTCACACGCAGTAAATGCATTTCTGAAAGGAGAAAGTCACTCTGCAAGACCATGTGTTTGACCTCTGCAAATATCTAATGTTAGCTGCGTTACCCTCCTGCAATTAATTACAAAATGCAGCAGCGAGCGCTAGGCCCCAGGCGTGCTGGGGGGGCTGTTTTGCAGGGGGTGCCTGTGCAGAGACGTGGGGTGTCACCGCGGGGGGCAGGGGGAGG